GCATAGTGTATCTCATAGAGACAGTGTCTGTGGTCTGGTGTTAATTTTAGGAATTAGCCATCATTGACTGGGCCTTGTCCAGGTTTTCCTCTCTCTTGTCCTGGCTCTGTAACCTAGTTATCCTTGTCTTTGCTAACCCATAACCAAATATTGTATCGGGACTATTATGCCGCTACAGGTGATGCAGTTTGGGTTTACAGTTTCTCATCATTTAGACAATACCTCATCAAATATATTTCTGTATGACTTTAGTGATGTCAGTTTTTGATTCATTCCTGCATAGATCTGGGCAAATTGTAGACCTTAGGAGGTGTATTCACCATCCAGTTCTCTAGAACTGCTTACGACATTTTTCTCTGAGTTTTGTTGTCCCAAAAGGAAGCTTCCTGAAATAGCCTTTAAGTGCCTTTAAAAAGAGCAAGAGAAAATAAGAGGAAAAAAAAAACACCCCAAACTCATTCCTTTACTGTGATGTGACAGTCCTCCCAAGACACTGCAATGGCCTGAGTTTTGCTGTTAATTTCATTCACTTGTTTGGGTTATGTAGGTCCTGCCTAGAACTGGAATGCCATTATGTAAAGAAATATTTTTTGTTTATATTCTTTAATAGTACCAGTAATGTAAATCTTATTCAGCTTCGACAATATAATTGGGTAAACCTCACATCATCAAACTCACGTTGTAAAAATTATTTCACTTTTCAAAAAAAATGGCATTTAAAAACTTGAATGATGTTAGTTATCTTAAAGAAGTATGTAATATATTTTTCTGGCTATCACCTCCATTTGTTACAACCAACTACAGATTATAAATTGGTTGATCAAAACTCTAAAAACAGAAAACCACAAGCCGCAGCATATGAGGAAATCTGGAACAGCACATGACTCCAAACCTGAGCGTGGACCACCACCAGAGAAGCCAGGTGCTGGGAAAAAGCACTGTGTGTTCCTCCACCTGACATTGTTCTATGCCTGAGAGCACTCGCTCCCCATCACAGTCTCTTTTTGCCACCAGGGGTCTAATCCCTAATTTACAGATAAATTATTTCTAATTTACAACAGAACAATGTCATGTGTGCAAAATTGCTTATGCATTTCTGAAAATTACAAAACTACTCTTACTAGTTACTCCTGGCACATGTGGATTATTTATACGTGATACATTTGGGAACCAAGGAATTCCTAAGCACAGGAAGCTCAATTCACTGAAATGTAGAATCGTTACAAAGCACATGTCAGATGTGGCTTATTCATTCCAAGCTTGTAGCCTGAGTCAGTCTCCTAGGTGGTTTATTAAAACACAGATGACTAAGCCCCACCCCCAGAGTTTCTGACCCAGTGGGTCTGGGGTAGGGCCTGAGAATCTGCATTTTCACCAAGTTCCTGGTGATGCTGGTGCGGTAACTTCAGGTACTACACCCCAAGCAGGACTGCGTGATTCTGTTTTTTAGGGAGAGGGACCACATGATAGTCTTACCCATCTGTAGCCCTGGTGTGGTACCTAACACATAATCACCTCTCAATAACAAATAATAGCAACAGGAAGAAGAACTAACTATTATTTGGTACTAACCATGTGCTACTTTCTGTGTTAAGTGCGAACTTTACAAAGTTTATAACTATCAGGTAGACACTGATAGAGTTTTTTTTTTTTTTTTTTTTTTTGAGATGGAGTCTTGTTCTGTTGCCCAGGCTGTAGTGCAGTGGTGTGATCTCGGCTCACTGCAACCTCTGCCTCCTGGTTTCAAGTGATTCTCCTGCCTCAGCCTCCTGAATAGTTGGGACTACAGGCACCTGCGATTGTGCCCAGCTAATTTTTTGTATATTTAGTAGAGACAAGGTTTCATTATGTTAGCCAGGATGGTCTCGATCTCCTGATCTTGTGATCTGCCCAGCTTGGCCTCCCAAAGTGCTGGGATTACAGGCATGAGCCACCGCACCCAGCTGACACTAACTTATATTCCCATTTTATAGAGGGAAAAATGGAACCTTAGGGAGGTTAAGCAACTGGCCCAAAGTCACACGGTCAGTTTGTGGTGGGCCCCTAGAAAAAAAAAAAAAAAGGTTCTTGAGCACTGTTTCCATGAAAAAAAAAAAAAAAAAAAAAAAAAAATGTGTACAAATTCAACAGAAAAGTTTTCAAATTGATATTGAGGGAGAAAAAAACGTTGACCAAACTTGACTTTGCAAACCATACTTTTTCTCAGAAGCTGCTAGACGGTTTCCAGTGAGCCCAGACATGTAGGATACCACCTTCATGGGCATCTCTCGAAACTTCTTCTGGGGAATGCTTTTGCTCCAGCTGAGGCAAACGTCTGTGAGAACCTCTGCATGGTGTCCACAGCTCTCTCTAAAGGGTCCTCAAAGGCAGCCCATGACTTGCTTAAAACAGCAGAGCCCCTTTGCAAGCTTTGTCTCATCTGTTTCTTCTAATTTAGCAGAAGAATCTGAACTCCTTGCGGTGACGGTCTTATCTCCTGGCTTCACTGTAAACAATTCAGGATTCCTGCTGTGGCTGCCAAGGAAGGAAACCTGGGAGAGTTCCCAAGGCCCGAGACCGGCCAACTCCTGTGCACGGCAGGCAGAGCTAACTCTCCGTCAGTCTACGCATGCCAGGGGAACGCTTTTTCTACGCATGCCAGGAGAATGCTTTGGGACTGTGTCCTGATAGTAAACACCAGGCCGTTTAGACAGAATTCCCATTAGCTTTTCCATGGGGGAGCAAATGCGGAAGTTTTCTTCAGATAGCTTGCAGTTTCCCAGCCATCCCCAGCCCTGCCCCCACAGAGTGACAAGAAACAGTCACCAAATGGCTGTTGTTCCATCGATCTGTTTATTTCTCTGTCTTGGGGGCGAATGGATCAGGTGCAGGCCTGCTGTTTTGTGTATCAGGCGCTTAGGCAATCTTCAGCCCTGTCTCCCTCTGTGCCTTCCTCCCTCCCCGGAAACTCTTGGGATTCTGTTTCCGCCTCTGAAAAGAAAATCAGGGTTCTACTACTACTGTTTAATTTCCTAGTAAGTGGTTATTGAGAAGTTGGAGTGTGACTCCAGGGAAACACTGCGCACTGTGAAAGACCATGCCTTTGCCAAGCAGATGCTCTGGGCGAGTCGCCTGGGTCACTAACTTTGGCACTTTGGCTGTGTTGCTTTTCTTTGGGGAAGATTTATGGCTAAGTTGTCTTTACTTGCCTGTGTCCTTATCAGGCACAGCAGCAGTAGGAACCACAAGTAAAAGCAGTTAAATTTCTCCGCCTTTTGCTCATCAGGAGCGTGGTCTTCAGGGTCAGACTGCCTAGATTCAGATCTGGCTACACCACTCACTAGCTGCCTGGCCTTGTGTAAGCGACTGCACCACCCTCTGCCTCTGGTTTCTCACGTGAAAAGCGAGGACAATAGTATTATCCAGTTCCTGGGTTCCGTGAAGGTGAAATACTACTGCTTATGAATTGGCACAAAGTAATGCTCCATAATGGCTTGTCGTTATTACAAAAGCTTAAAATCGAAATTAAGGTATCCTCTTAAAAAAGTCCTTGCACATGTTTAGAAGCTGGCGAGGCTGCCAGGTGTTTTCATTGCCTACCAGGTACTTACAGTTTACGAGAAGAAATGGGGCCAAACATGGATGGAGAGAAAAGTACCCTGAGTTCTCCTCCCAGGGGTGAAATCAGGTACAGCACTGTCACGAAAGAGCGGACGGTACTGACTGTGGGAAGCTTCCCGGGGTCTGGGTCTGAGGAAGAAAACTGCAAGATAACAAACGATAAGGAGGAAGTAGGAGTGCCTGCTTGCTTTTTATTTTTTTTTCCGAATTCAGTTCTTTTAATAGATTGCACATACAGATGTTTAGGCATACTCTTAGATGAACTCTTTAAGAGGAGAACTTTAGATCCAATTTATATGCTCTGGATACCACCTTTCTTATTTTTTTACAGTAAGGTCTGGTATTCAGACACCCACTTGTACACTGACGGCTTTAAGAAAAGCAGGACACAGAGGAAGTTGTCACTTTTAGCCGCAATGAAATACCACTAACCCCTTTTTACAATACCGAGTTCAAGTCACTGTCAGAGGCTAGCGCACCACAAAGTCACCAGGTACAAAATTGCTAGTTCATTTTTAAATTAATAACTTGAAATTACCCTTGTCCCCCACCCCATTACATCTTTTTATAAACAGCAAACATTTTGCTATTTTATACATAGGCTAGCAGGCTTGTTTCAATATGAAAGTGCTAATTCATTTACAGATTTTTATAATGAGTTATGTAGTGCTACAATAAATGTCCAATAATCTACACAGGAACAATGATGAATGAAAATGATGAGGATTGAATAAGGCTATCATTATCTTATATTATTTACGTATAAAGAATAGATACCCAATGGTGAGGAAGAGACAGAAATTGGGCAAATACTCATGGGTGTAAAAATTACATCTACCTTTTTTTTTTTTTTTTGAGACGGAGTCTCGCTCTGTCCCCAGGCTGGAGTGCAGTGGCCGGATCTCAGCTCACTGCAAGCTCCGCCTCCCGGGTTCACGCCATTCTCCTGCCTCAGCCTCCCGAATAGCTGGGACTACAGGCGCCGCCACCTCGCCCGGCTAGTTTTTTGTATTTTTTAGTAGAGACGGGGTTTCACCGTGTTAGCCAGGATGGTCTCGATCTCCTGACCTCATGATCCGCCCGTCTCGGCCTCCCAAAGTGCTGGGATTACAGGCTTGAGCCACCGCGCCCGGCCTACATCTACCTTTGAGTTCATACTGTAAATGAGACGTTTTAAGTAGTCCTGTAGCCCGTGCCTATTTTTTCCTTAGAAAAGGAAAAGCTGCCTTCATGACATCCGCTCTTGTTTCAGATTTCCACAGCTTCCCCTTTGAAGCTTCAGAGTCAGGATCTTACTTTCTTCAAAAAATAAAGAAAATACGCCCCCTGAGTTACCTCCCATCTCCACCCCCCACCCCTACCCCCCATCCCCACCCCCCTCCCCTACCCCCCGACCAAAATCCCGCTGGTTTCTTTTCCAGTGCCAGGCTGCATGATCAGGTCCCATCTCCGGGGTTGTTTCTTTTTCCATCTGTTGATCATTAGTTTAGAATAGATAACATGAACCAGTTCTGGAACCACGACTAGGAGGAACACAAGCTGTTCACTACAGTCACACAGCAGGAAAGAAAGAGAGAACTCAATTCATCCCTGGTGCTGGGCCTCCGAAGTTGAAAGAACTTGGCACAAATGGAGCACTGAATTTGTATCCTCCATGCTTCTCAATCATTTTGGATTCATGGGCTGCTCTCCTTTGATCAGTCAGAGTTGCTGTATACTGTAACTGTTTTCTTTGTCCTTCATTAAGACGATGAGTCAGAGCCTGATACCACACAGGATTACGATTTTGAATAGTTCGAAAGATAACTTTAAATGTCTGATACTCATCAACAGGGTTATCTTCATCATCAATGATTGTGGAATAGCCTTCTCGAGAAGTCTCTTCCACATCATCATCTCAATCTTCATCATCTCCATCATCACCAGCCTGCTTAACCAGAATCTCCAAATATTCTTGCCCATCTTCATCAATATCATCTTCATCACTCCCCAGTTCCTCTGGTCAATGCCACGCCCTTTGCACTGCAGAATGATGACCTCAAACAATTTTGCTGCATGACACTCTGCATCTTCTGCAACTCCTGTAAAAACCTTTTTGCACAGACTGTATATCATTTCAAGATAATTGGTGTCAGACAGAAGTGTGTCTGTATCAACTGCTACATAGTTATGAAGGAAGGGCATCATATCTGTAAAATAATTAAAGCCATCTTGCTCAAAGACTTCAAATACAAGGGGTAGTAGCTGCCACATCTGTGGAGACACTTGTTCACATGTCAAACTGTGCGCTAAAGAGAAGATCTTAGAGAATTCTAAGACATGTTGTTGTAAAACAGTACCAATGACCTGTAAGCAGATTCCCTCGAGCTGTTGGGTTATCTCTTTATGATCTTCAACTACCCTCAGTGTGTCAATTGTATTAAGAATTCCCATAGCAAATATTTGAGAGAATGCCTTTTAGTTTAATGCACAGTTAAATTCATCCTGTACTGTTCCTGGAGGAGCTAGAGCCTGGTCGCAGGCTACGACTCATCAATTAACTTCTACAGTGGAGACGACTTCTGGGACTGGAATATAAAAAAGAATCAAAGGTTTTGATTGTGAGTTGCAATAAAGGGAAAGACCATGCTCACAGCAGTGCCAGCATCTGAAGTGTGGAGCCTTACCCATTTCATCACCTACAACGGAAGTAGTTAACTGGAAGAGATCACCAAGAAAATAAAAAGAGACTCATTCAGTGAGGGGGGGAACAAAAAAAAGAATTCCCATAGCAGTAACTGCTTTGTCATCACCACCTTCGTCATCTGACCCCGTCTGGATTACTTGGTTAAATGTCATTGCCAAATGTTGTGTCATTTCTACTGCAATAGGAGTAATTTCTTCGCTATATTCATGGATCATTTTCTGAATTACATTGGTAAGGTCATCGTTTTCTGTTTCTCTTATAATAGAAAAAAGAGCCTGCATGACAGGTCTGATGAATGGCATGATATATTCTTTAGCTTTTTCTTGATTGCTGATCAATACTTGAAGGGCAGTGGCAGCTTCCACTTTCACAAGCATTTCTCTATCATCAGTCAGACATCTTGTTAGCTCTAAGGCTGTTTGAAGGTTCTGATCACTTTTGAACTTCACTTCACAAAAATAGTAAAGTACCCAGCAAGCCCTTGCTCTCACGTAGCCTAGTTCACTGCTGAAGAGAGGGAGTACATGAATCTGCAACATGCATTCTGTCTGATCTTTACAGATCTTTTTCTTCAGAAGTATTTCAGCTAAAGAGCCAATCCTATGCAGGGCTCCATCGTTTTTTCAAGGGTCAGCATTTGGTTCTGTAAGAATCTGGTAACAAAATCCCAGTCTTTTGCAGTACCTCTTTCCTCTTACTACAGGCTGTAAACAGAAGTGTCTGGGCAGCAGTGGTAGGAGAAAGGAAATCTTCAAACACATCATACTTTGTGCATATATATTCGTAAGGGTCTTCTTGCCAAAGTTCCTCGCCGGCATCTGTGCACATCAGTGGAAAAATAACATCTCGGATAATGTCTTGTGTATGGGGCTTCAGATTCTTCCAGATGAGAGCATGAGAAACTCCTTAATTAATAAAAATTACAAAGGCGGTGAAGGCCCATTGGGGAATATACAGGAATGTTTAAAGCAGAAAATAAGTCATTTAAAGCTCCTCCACCCAGAGATCATTGTTAATTCCCTAACACATTTCCTGTTTTTGGGCTTTTGAGATAACCTGGGCAGACTCCGGCCATGGGAAAGGAAGGCTCAGGAGCCATGTGAGATGCTGGTGGCGTCCAGCATGGCCTCAGCTAGGAAAGGATGGGCCTGGGGTTCTGGGCACACACAAGGCAATGGGATTTGTCAGAATCATCACCAACCTCCTCTGAGCTGGGGCAGCAGAGTATTCTAAGCCCCCAGCAGCATGTAAGTTCACCAGAGAAAGCAGTTATTGGAATTCATACAGAGAAAGCAACTGATGATAAACTGACTTTTGGTTTTTAAAGATTTGGTATATTAAAATGTGTTTTTGTTGTCTTTAGTAGTCTACTGACACCACCTTAGAATCTCTCTCATTCATTTCCCATCTATAAGATGAGGAAGGTAACAGCCGCATTTTTTTTTCTGAAGTTACAGACTCCCAGGGAGCAGGTTGCTGAAAGCTCTTTGAGGACACAGTCTAGGTGTAGAGCCCCCCCAGTATCTAACATAACAGAAGGACAAGGTGGATAGAAGGGCAAGGTGCCTTTCCAGGGCAGCTGCAGAGTATCAGACCTTCTCGAAGGAAGGCGGAAGCCCTGATGGGACACAGTGGTCTCATCTGGGTTCTGGTGAGAGTGGCAGCCCTGGAGGTGAATTTAGTCATGGTGCATCCAACAAGTCTAACTGGACATGGCATTCCACCTCTTCAAAAGCTGAACAGCCCACTTGACAGAAGTTTTCAAGTTTGGTTTAGCAATTCTATATTGTATAGATACTGCTTTTGTCTGCTGTAATAAACAAGGAGTTATAATTACTCCAAGCTTTGTTCTTTTTTAATGTGTACACTACTTCTACATAATCAATGGTTGGTCCATTTTGTTAGTTTCTTACATTCCTCATAGACTGGTCTGAATGTTTGCAGTGGGATCAGACGTTACTAGCATATTGTCAGATTTTTTTTGTCTTATCTTTTTCCATCACAGCCAGCCTGCCTGCCTAGATCTGTAGAACTAAGTCTCATTCAGGTCAAGGATCATGTGCTTGAAAGGAACTGAAACTCATTCACAGGGTGAGAGCGGGTAGTGGCAGACAGGAAACATTAGAGAATGTCAGGGAAGGCAGGGGCTCTCCCCGGTATTTCTCCCAATGGCCCCATTGTCTCTCCTCTCTGACGTGTGTTTCCTTTATCCCCCAGCCCCGGACCTATACTCTCTGTGAGGCTCTTAGTTTCTGCTCCCGCATTACATCAGCTTGCATGGAGAGGCAGCCGCACTGGCTCTGGAATTGGTGCCTAATGGCTCAGGGCTCACCTCTTCTGCTTTCTTCAGCAGAGGAGCCTTCAGGCTCCACGTTAGGGAGTTGCATCTCCTAACAGAGAGGGAGAGGGAGGAGCCCCCCTTGACTTAGAGTAGAGAAACTTCCTGTCATTCCTAATGAGAGTCACCTCATTGTCTTGGGAAAAGCAACTTAGGACATTTCAAGCCTCAGTGCAGGGAAGAGGCAAAGGGAAGGCAGGAACGAGGGGGCCTGGGGGGGTGTGTACAGCAGATTTCTCCTTTTCCACGCCTCCTTCAGCATACGGAATACAAATGATCTCTTGAGGAGTTGTATGGAGCAACCTAAACCACCCCAGCACCATTTCTAAAATTCGCCAATTAGATCCAAGTGGTTTGAGGAGCAAGGGAGGATAAGCAGAGTCCTCACTTCACCTAGCGGGAATTACTAGCCAGGGAATTCTTCCTTGACTTAGGTGAGATTGTCAAGGTTCAAGGGATGGATGTTTTTGTTGCTCAGGAGCAGGAAGGAGGCAAGAGTTCATTTTGGAGGTGAGGAATAAGGAGGAGGGCAGCCCAAGGAAAGGTGCACTTGGAAGGAGTGAAAAGGAATCAGGAGGCAGGACACAGGAAGCCTAGTGCTGTTGTTGACAATAGGTGCTCAGTAAACTTTTGGTCAATTAACTGGAAGAGTAAGGAAAAGATGGATGGAAGGCAAAAGGGGGCCCACTCTGGAATGTGCTTTTCGAATGATCCCTATTCCCTATGCCTTTCCCTGCAGCTGAGACCAACTGCCTTTGGCTCTGCTCCTGTCTTGGGCCCTGTGGTTCTTGGGGAGGTAGGAATAGAGCAGGGGAGCCAGCAGCCCCCTATCAGACAGGCAAGAGTCTTGCATCTTCCCTTCTGATGCATTCTAGAAGTGATGAGAGAGCATCGTCCTCTACTCCTAGTCTGTTGCAAGAGCCTGCTGGAATTCTGCTCCCTTCTCTGCCCTCACTTGCTACAGGGACTGCCTCTCCAGGATGAAGTCATGGGGGCGGGAGCCATGGGGAGCCTTTGTGGCTGTGACCCATGATTGAGTCTGGGGGAGGGTTACCTGGAGGTGGGGTACAGCCTACGGCCAATGAAACAGTTTTTCACAGCATTAACTTAATGGGAAATGGAGGGACTCAAAAGCAGATCTCGGTCTTGTGACTGCCATGCTCTGCTCTGACCTGTGGGGCTGACAGATTGCTCTTCAGTAAATGTTGGACTTGGGTAATTTTCTCCTTCATGTCCCTTAAAACCCATGACAATTGTGTTTATCCTGGAGTCTCCCTGACAAGAGAAAGCGAGCAAAAAATAAGTATTTACGTATATATATTTGTGTGTGTGTGTGAGAGAGAGATAGACTCCCATGCCATAGGACAGAGGCAGATTCTGTCACTCAGGCTGGAGTGCAGTGGTATGAATATGGCTCACTGCAGCCTAGACCTCCTGGGCTCAAGGGATCATCCCACCTTCGCCTACTGAGTAGCTGGGACTACAGGCGTGTGCCACCATGCCCAGCTAATTTTATATTTTTTGTAGAGATGCAGTCTCACTATGTTGCCCAGGCTGGTCTCAAACTCCTGGGCTCAAGCGATCCACCTGCCTTGGCCTGTCAGTTTGGAGATTTGATTACAGGCATGAGCCACTGCACTCAGTCCGTTATTTTTATTATTAGCAGCTCTGGGAATCTTTACCATAAAAGTTTTCTCCCTATATAGATAATAATGGGAAGATTGGAGATTGTGAAATCAAACAAAAATGGGTTTAAATTCTTTCATGTTCATTATCTAATGTGTGGTCTTATCTCATCTCTCTGAGACCAGTTCCGATGTTTGTGTAATGAAGTTAGTAATATTACCTCATTAACGCATTGAGGGTTTAGGTGGAGAATACCAGTGTTGAGGTAGAAATGCCAGTCAATCCTGGCAGGAAGGGGGATGACTAGAGGACTGTTTAATAACGGGATTATTTACAAAGGTGTGGCCAGGGTAGGAAGCAACAGGGACAGAACTTACCCGTGCTGGTAGCAGTGAGGCTACCCTCTCCAGCTCTGAGGGGTTGGGAGTAGGGCATTGCCAGAACCTGCCTTGCAGGTACTGTGTGACCTTTAGTCAAGGGACAAAGCCATCCCGCAATGACACCAGCAGGAAGGAGTTTACAGCCGGCGTCATTTCCTTCTCTCTCCCTCCAGTTCCCTGCCTGGGCTCCCTGCCCATTGCTCAAATCCAACCAGAGGCCAGAGGGCAGGGGAGCCCCCGCAGGTAGTCTACGGAGGGCAGCCTCTAGGAGCACAGCAGCTGGAGTAGGGTGAACCATAGAGTGAACCAAGGAGACAGAAGATCTCCAGCATAGCAAGAGCTCAAGAAATGAGATGACTATGATGAGTCATTCAAGTTCAGTGTAGAGTCTTCCAGCCCATAGCTGGAAGAACAGGCATTTTTGTTTTCTCACAAAGCATTGGTAAATCTCCATACAGATAACATGCGCCCATCAATGGTTGCTGATCACTGTTCAGCAACCACTGTTGGGCAAATTTTTTGATCATGGAGCAAAAAATGTTGACTTGTGAGCAAGTTTAACATTTGAAGTTCAAAGACAATGGTAGGATAAATTTAAATTGCACAGCAAGGAATAAAAACAGGACAGGCATCAAGTCTGGTACAGCTTCATTTATTTCTTACTTTTGCTACCGAATTGAGTTTGCATCCAAGTGCTCCTCACGCTCCCGTTGGCAGAATGATGAGGTAATGAACTAACAGCATTTACAGCAAATGACAGCAGATTGTTCTGTAATTCAGGGGCTAACCTACGTGCCACACAGTGGTCTTTTGATGTCTGTGAATTTCTTCAGGGTGGGTGGAGAAGCTTTTTGCTTGTAGGGGAAGGCTCTGGATGGACTGAGCCTCTGACATATCAACCGTAAGTCCTGGGGTCCTGGGGCTTTATTCAGAGGAAGAAAGCAGATTCTACAGGCCTCAGTAGAGTGGTCTGTCCCGGAACCGAGCCCTCTGCCCTGAGAATTGGACTCCACGGTGGCCAACTGGACATTGTCCTTGTGCCCGGAGGGGTGACCTACACGTGGGACAGGAAAGGACACTGTGGCTTCGTCACCAGAAATGCTCTGCCAGGTCTGTCCTTCTGGAACTTGCCTAACCTGCTCTGCAAAGGTTTCAAGATGTTCTAATGCATCCACTTTAATTTATTCAAACCCCAACGTACAGTCCAATTTTTCTGGCTTCTGGCTAGCTGGGTGACGAGAAGGGTGTTGCTAAGAGGTAAATAAATGGTGGAGCAGAGCCACCAGGAAGGTCCATGGGGCCTCCACAACCGCACTGGGCCCCTGGCCCGGAAATCTGCATTCTAACACTCCTCGCTGATGTGGACAGGCCTTGTTTTAGAAACAGGACCCACAGGAGCAAGGGAACCAAAAAGTGTATTTCAGGATAATTTAAACATAAAAAAAGTCCTACCTTATTTAAAAAAACAAAAACAAAAACCTGGTTACTTCCCGTAAAAAATATGTACTTAAGGTTAGCCACTTGCACTTATTTGTAGAATAATTGCATTGCGCTTACATTTCTTGCAGGCAAAATGGCATTTTATTACCAATGGGTCTGGCAAGAACGCAAGTGATCTAAAACCTTTTTTTTACCTTTTTTTCTCACTCAAGATCAAGTAATGATGGGTTCCACTAAAGTCTTAGTAGAACAGCCCACCTGTGTGACTGCTGAAAACTGGGTGACAAAGTCTACACGGGGGTAGGTGACCCGCTCTGTTGTTGTCACCCTGGGACACTGCGCCATCTGTTTGTTGAGTTCCTCTGATCGGCTGACTTCTGATGATCCTGTGCTTTAATGAAGTGGCTTCTGCAGCACAGGCTTTAAATCCAAAGTCCAGGTGGTGTGGGCTGAAAAAAGGAACCATCCGGACTCTGGTGCTAGTGTCGGGTGGGTTTCCACAGCCCACGCTGAATGCTGGGGGCCAGCGGAGCAGCCAGGCATCAAAGACTGAGTGCAGAGTCTGTCCCACGTGGGCGGGAGGGAAAGGGAATCCCAGATCTGACTTTCATCCTTCAATTCCCATGCGCGATTTTCTCTAACTTCCATGTTTCAGGATGGAAAAAAATTGCCAAAACACACAGAACAAGGCTAGTCCAGAGAATTGTTGAGGATGTGACAGAAGGTTTAAACTTAAAGTTCTTATGGCCCTCGACGTTCTGGAGTTAGAGGAGGGGAGAAGGTGCTCTGCAGAGCTGAGGTTTGCTGGAGGCCTAATCCTGAAATTAGTAGGGACTGGTTTGTTATTTGGCTGAATCACCTGCCTGATGCTGCCTGAAGTCAGAGGAGATGGGCAGGGCCACCCTGTGTATGGAATCAAAGGAAGAGCTAGTGGCTTCTGGTTCCTGGCCAGGTTTGTGTCTGTGTCTGCTTTAAATAGGCTCTGTACACCCAAAGGCTGTATGACGGACACATATTTATTATTCAGGACATAAGACAAACTTTCGCCTGGCATAAGCCCACCGTGTGGCCAAGGCCTGCCTCAGTCCCTGTATGGTGAGTGCTGCTGTGCCTGCTGCCCATGTCCCCTGGGCTGAAGACCGGTGCCATGGCTCTGGGGCAAGGGTGGGGATTAAAAACCTTAGGACTTCGCAGGACCCTGGGGTCCCAGCCTTCGGTTGCCTGTACTGCTCCCCAATGGAAAAATTCACCTGGGAGTCCCTCCAAGTCCTCTGTGGGTTAGGGAGGTGCAGAGAGGTGGGTGAGGTACCCAGGAGGCTACTCCACTCGGCCCCTTTCTTCAGGATGTTTTCTTTCTGCCCGGAGTGGTGGTGAACACACAGGCTGACCTCATCCCTGTATTGCAGGGTCTGTCTGGGCTGGGGCAGGTTTGCACCCTGCCTGGGTGCTCGGCACCTTGTGTGAAGGGGATCAGTCAGGGCAATCACCTGCACCCCGGAGTCCACCCTGGAAGCCAGGGCCTGGCACATGGCTCCACACACACAGCCAGCGGGACTAGGACTAAGTGAGCAGAGCCCAGTTCTTCTCGTTCCCAGTGTGAGCTGACGTGGGCGCCTCCCTGTAACTGGATCAAAAGGAGACTGCTTGGCAAATACAAATGAAAGCACAGTCTAGGACCCAGCCGACTGGAGAGAAGGCATGAATCAGAGAAGAGAAAAAATGGGAAGAGGTCAGAGATAAAGGCAAAGCAGAGTTGATGAGAACTGTAGAGGTACGTGGGAGGAATAGTCAGTGTTCTGATGTATTGACTACCTTTCAACTCATTGTTTAGTGTCATGGGAACGAGGCGTTTATCAGACAAGATCAGAAGTTTAAAGGTGGCCAGCTTTATGGGGTTAATAACTCCGTGTCCATGTTCCCTAAGTGAAGTGAATAGCTCTTTGTGCTGATAGCATGCTGAAGGATTCACAGTGGTTTAGAAAAAGCACAGACCACATGTGAAGAAGTAACCACTTATCAGATGACTGTGAAGGCAGAAATCAACAGAACCTGTAAACACACTATTTTCCTGGACCTACATAAGTGCCTATTCAGACGCTGACTGCTTTTTAAAACCTTTATTTTTCTCCCTATAGGCTCTGCATATGTAATGTAAGGAGCCGGGAATCTGCAGGTTAAACTGCTGAAAAGAAAACTCTGGTGAGCTATGGAGGAATGAGACAGGGTTCTTCTTCTTTTTTTTTCTTTTTGTTTTGAGACGGAGTCTGCTCTGTCGCCCAGGCTGGAGTGCAGTGGTGCGATCTCAGCTCACTGCAAGCTCCACCTCCTGGGTTCATGCCATTCTCCTGCCTCAGCCTCCTGAGTAGCTGGGACTACAGGCACCCACCACCAGGCCTGGCTAATTTTTTCTATTTTTAGTAGAGACGGGGTTTCACCGTGTTAGCCAGGATGGTCTGGATCTCCTGACCTCGTGATCCACCCGTCTCGGCCTCCCAAAGTGCTGGGATTACAGGCCTGAGCCACCCGCCCGGCCGAGACAGGGTTCTTAAGGGTAGTGGGGCGCTTTCTGGCTTCATCCTGATTCACTTGTTTGCCTTCATGTGAATCTCCGTATTTTCTGAAATAAAACCCATCCTAAACGACAAGGATTGTTCAGTAAGGAAATTCAAGAGATTTTCATATAAGCTTGAAAGTCATCCAGAAAAGGAATTAGAAAAATGCTTTGAACAGTAGCTGCATTATTTAAATCCACTTATTAGGTGGCTGCTTTGAAGAGACAAATGCTTCTTGGGGTTTTTAAGTTCTTGTGCACTTGTTTACAGGAGAGAGAGAGAGAAAGGAATTTGCATTACATATGGGCGTATCTTGTTGAGATCAACTAGTCCCCTTTCCTGTGATGCTTCTTGGACTTGTGCAGAAAATATTGTCCCTCTTTGCCCCAGGGCCGAGGACCAGCTGACTTCTCATG